TGTGATTGCGGGGTACAGACGATTCTGCAAGGCTGGGAATTCTGTGGGAAGAAATGGCAAAGTTCGATAGTTCCTAAATTAACCTACTTTTGGACACGCATTTTTTTACAGATTCGACGAAGTTTACCAGGAAGAACCCACCCCCGATCAAATTGCTTCGTATTGTAGAAGAACATAACTAAGAAGTCTATATAGTTGCTTGTGAGATTTACACATATTTTGGATTTTTTGTGTTCGCTCACTGATTTTCCTAACCAAGCTAGAACGTATACTGGCTAATAATGATAATGAATAATAATAACAATGATAATAGTAAGCAGTAATAGTAGTAATAGTAATAATATTAAATATGGACATCAATTTTACTTTGATTTGTTCACAGGAGTCAGAAGATTGAAAAGTAGTAATAATGAATGAATAATCACATTTTATCTGAAATCACCTTTTTCCTTTCCGAAATCGCTATTCGCCAATCTTTTGCACCGTTATGGACATGTACGGCGCGTCTCGCCCACAGGTAGCTGGCGCCTAGTCGCGAGGCAGCACTAATTAGGTGCCAAAATTTGAGGTCACTTCGCACCTCGTCGCGACGCAGCACTAATTAGGTGCTGAAATTTCCAATCGTACCACTTGAGACACACCCCTGAAGAAAGTTCGACTCACCTGATGAGCTCCCATAACCACGCCAAATCCCAAATCATGAGCGCCTATGGTTTCGGCAAGTTTTGCCATCTGGACATTGCACATGCCAGCTCCTTCGTACTCTGGAGGTACCACAGCACCTAAGCCGCCAAGGTCACCAAACTGCTTCAACACCTCCATTGGAATCTGCATGTTCTCATCGTTCCTAAACATACATTGAAATGCCCGATTGAAATAGCAACAAGAAAAACAAGGATACGGGATGCTCCAAGGCTCTCCTAAAAACGCCTTGGAAACTGTGGATGGTTTAAAACGGCTGCCCTTCCCTGCATTCATTCAGGTGCTTCTCGAATCTCACGTCGTCCTCAGCTTACCATGATGTTGCAAAAATCGCTCCCCCCCCCCGCCTCGGATTCACTGCCTTTAAGTCTCCCATTTTACGATGGACCGTCGAAGACAACGAGACCAATGAGGATAGACGAAAACGAATTTTGGGCTAGAAACAGATGTCTGGCGTGTTCCATGCATCCGTACTGAACTATGGCCTGTTGACCTTGACCCTTCAAAGAGAATTATTGGTTTCGCACAAATAATCGTTTTCTATGGCTTAATCTGACGTTAGACTGATTCTGAACGAAAGGTGGTGCTACTCTTGCCGCCGGAAATTGCGCAGCATTGACGCTAAGGCATCGATTTAACGCAATTTACGCCCTATTCTCAATTCCCGCCCCATTCGTCGACGCGGTAAGATTACAGGTAACTAACGTATGTGCTTTTGTCGTTTGAAAGGTCGTTGGAAATAACTTCAGAAAAAATATTTGTAAATTCGTGCTATCAGAGATGCTCTTTTGATATCCAACTTTGTACCCACAAAAGAAAACTTACAATAGACAGGGGTCTCTATGGCACTTTTGAATAAAAAAAAGCAACTCACTTCACCACATCGTTGACCTCCTCGAAGAACTTCTCAGTGGGTGCCATGAACATGTTCAGGGTTTCTCGTTGATCGTCATCCAACTTCAGCGGATAGGGAAAAACTTGTTCATTGACGGCTCGGCCTCGAAAGAGGTTCATGACAAACGACTTGGACTCCTAAAAAACCTCGTTGAACTTCCTTAGAATTGGGTCTATAGTTGAAGAAAACGTCTTCAACAAAAACAGAGTACAAAGAAAAGGATCGCGAGATTGCAGAGGGGAGCTGCGCGATTTGATCGACCCGCTACAGTAGTCAGGAAATGATTATAAACCTTTTCATGGAGCTATAGCCGACTAAAGATAGAACCAAATGTAGAAGAAACGGGAAACCAGAGGGACAAGAAATCGCTCATCTGTTCATCGCGCGCTCCCTCTGACGTCATCCAAGACGCGCCGCGTAAGCGTCGCTGATATGTTTTTCCATGGACCAAAGCGCACATCTCCCTCCCTTTGTATCCCGCAGCCAGGTGCATGTGTGCACAACAAACAACACAAGTGACGACAGTCTCCACAAACGTGAATATTTTCTGCCAATTAAATGATTAGCTGATAGTAGCGGTATTTTATCGAACGTCATAAACTATGACACTTATCTATCAGCTATCAGATGCCACGATAAACTGGCAATTTTGACGTTTTTCGACGTCCAAGGGCATTGTCAACCGGAAGATTTGGATGATTCAGCGTTTTGTAGTGTTCTCTGGGCACTCTCGCACATGCACACTATTACAGCGTCTCTGCTTTCTTTCCTTCCTTCAAAAGGCTTAGTCCTAGAAAAGCCCAAAGTATGTGTTTTCTGTCTGGACACTTAGCGTTGGTTGACCGCCGCCCTGTAACCTTTCTTGGAGGTTTCCGTCACTGGTGCTGTTTGGTCTGCATTTACAGAAGGGTCTGGCTGTCGGATATGAAGAGTAGGGTCAGTTTTCCAGTGAGTCAGATTCGATCAGTTTTTGAGAATGCAGTTTATGGAAATACAAGGGAAATTTTTGATTCAAAAACGGTTGAATATCAGGAATTTACTGAGCTGTTGTTATTCAAAGGCAACAATAACTGTAGATGTTTCACAAGAATGCTGGGTTGTGAACAAAACTTTCGCCCCAGGCGGGACTAGAACCCGCACCTCTCGCTTTCCGGGCAAGTGCGCTACCAGTTACGCTACCGGGGCACCATTTCATTCCAACTCAGCTTTTCATGGTATACTTACCATAGCTTGTAACAACAAAAACAAGTCAAAATAACTGTAGAGTTTAGGAGGAGATACAAAAAGTAAAGTTGATAAAAAAGCAGGAGTCACTGGTGGCGAACGTGAACAGTACTACAGTCGGAGCCACAGCGAATTCTTTCTCGGGACTTATTAATGCAAATGCTAACATTCAAAAGCATCGATCGGCTACTTATACAGCAGGAAAACTCACCACTGGTGGTTTTGCTTCCCTCTCTTTTGGTTTAGCGGCAGCGGTCGACAGTGCGGCATTCCTGCAAAAACCATTATATGATTGAAAAAATAAAATTGTTTAAAATATAGCAATGCCTCGGCGAAGGTGGCTGAAAATGACAATTGGTATAGCTACCGCAGGAATGGTCTGGAGATTAAGTACCGGGTCGGGTCCCCCTCCAGTCCAGCTTAATTAGGGTGAGTGTTGATTCTTTGCTGCAAGATTGGAGGAGAAAACTCTTACCCATAATAGACAAAATATAGTACTATGTGCCAAAAAATCCGATTTTGAATGGTGGTCGAGTGCGTGGCGCACTTCATAAAAGAGACCGACCTATCCCAAACAATTTAGCCAGACGTGTACTGGAATCGGCTTCGTGTCTGTGAACTACAGCAGAATCAAAAGTTAAATCTATCCAGTTGAAGACCTTGAGCGACGCCATGTTCCTGTGTTACGTTCATATGGGCGTTGATATATAATAGCCTAGAAGTACTCCCAGACAGAAAACCCTAACGACCTCAGAGAATTGATGCTAAGGCTGGACTCATCCATGCGAGGAGTGCAGAGTAATAGAAGAAGGGCGGGGAAAGTGGTGACTGTAGGCTTGAACTAGGTTTGTGGAGCTAGTGCAATAAACTGCTCGCCCGTTGGGAATGAGAGTAGAGCTCCTGAGGGGTGCAAAAATGGATAAGAACTGAGGAGATCTGCGCCAAACCGGCCAATGAACTTGGTTTCCCCCCCCATTGATCATCGGTTAGGATCTGACGGCGAGGGATCAGCAGCCATCAGAGCAGGTGGAGGAACAAAGGCGACCAGAGGGGTGGGTAAAGCCTTATCAGCTCGCTAGCAAGCTTGGGTGTTCACTTTGCCGCAAAATTACCACCCTTCAGTCCCTTACCAATCTCCTTTATAAAGGCAATACCAGAGGTAAGCAAACCAGCCCTTTTGGCGTTTCGGCTGGGACCGTATGCTGAATGTTGGGAGGGGATGGGGTCCCCAACGGTCGACGGTTTACTTCAACTCGGTTGGTACGATAGGAGAGTACTGACGCAAGTGGTGCAGCTGGTCCAGCAGCTCCGCCAGAAGGGCTGGTTTGCTCACCCCAGGACTAAGCCTTGGAGAGGGGACGGACCCGTCCTCTCTTTAAGGCTTAGTTCTGAGGTAAGCACCAAATTGTGGCGGTTCTAAGGACCGAGTTGAAGTGGTCCGTCCACCGTCGGGGACTCCATCCCCTCCCCAACATTCAGCATACGGTCCCAGCCGAAGCGCCAAAAGGGCTGGTTTGCTTACGTCATCCTCCTCCTCCGCCCGTTCCCCTAAACATCCAATCTGTCGTGCCACCCTTCTTTAACAGAGCGCCTGGTGCAGGCGTTGAAGTTTCATATTATCATACAACGGGGTTTCAGTCCGTACCTTACGACTTTCGACACCGGCCTGACAGCGGATTTGGCGAGAGTGGAGAGCATTTCTGAAAAGATCGCGGCTTCAGTTTAAAGGTAAATATCACCAGTTTCCATCAAATGCGTTCACAATGAACGAATACTTGAGATGGACGAGATACGAACTCCTGATGGCATGTGTGTTGTTGTTACCATTCGAGTGATTAGAACCTTTGGACACAGTCCTACATAGTTATCGATCGCAATAAAATTAATCATTATAAGACGTTGCGAAGTGTGTGTTCAGGTAGATAATATGCGATAACAACGATGAGCAGGAGGGGGGGAGGGGATAAGAAAAAGCACAATTCCGCTCTGAGTCGCGATTGCTGTGCTTTTTTTTCGTCGTCAGAGTTGGCCGCTCCGTCGTTGAACTTCCTCGCAATATAATTCGCTCCAGTTTCCTCATAAATCGGAGAAACAGAGCTAAGTGTCCCTCTATAAGTGAACGCAGGCCCTCCTTCACTGCCCTCACCGTCTTCAGAATATGACGTCATCTGTCACCGTCGTCAGGCTCAAGGAGGTCTACCGTAAGAGCTTCAGCCTGAAGCTCTTACGCAATTTCGTGAATCGATTTAATGTTGGATAGTTTTCTAGAGGCATTAGCTACCGACAGTGCAAGCCCCTTGAAACCTCCTTTTCAGAAAGCGTCGTAATGGAAATCGATCCGTCGAGTTCCCCTTTGAGCTCGACCAGTGCACCATGAGGCAAATTTCGTTCACGTAGAAGGCCACTGATGTTTTTTTTCACAAAATGGACGGTGCTTTTCAATTTTTAGTTGGGAGCATTCGGTTCGAATTTAGCAAATGATTAAAGGCATGCCCCAGGATCACATTGGTGTGGCTCTTGCACACGAATGCGAATGTATTGGTGCGAAATGGGCCGGCAGTAAAGAAAAAAGGAAAAGAATCCGTCGAAAACGCTTAGGTTAAGGGCTCACTCACCTTCCTAATCGGCTGTGCTAAGGGAATGAGAGACTAAGCGCGGAGAGGAGAGTATGAGGCGAGAGAGCGCTACAGATGAGAGAGCGCCAGACAACAGCCTGATAAGAGAAAAAATCTGCAGCTCAGCAGCTTACTTTGCAAGGCCCAAGCGCTCTTGTCGGTTGGTTTCCGTGCACGGGAACGCCACATTTGTGATTGTCCTCTAGGGGTCTATACTACAGACCGAAGAGAAGCGTTCACACGACCTCTGCCTGGGTTGTGCCTTTAAATTCATTTGGATGTGGCGACAAATGTCTTCTTTCATTGCCCCTCCTCTCTGTATATTATTCACGCTAGGCAAAAGTAAACATTGGAATCTAGAGAAAATGTTTAAAAAGGTTATTGGGTAGAGGCGAAACAAATAAACAAATACTTCTGATTACTTTGGTATGACGCAAAACAGAGTGTATAGAAATGTAGATAGACAAATTAATAAATGAGTAAATAAGTTGACATGTTTTTAAATGTTAACTGTTTTTGATAGCAGTTCGTCTTGCAAAAGTTTAAATTTTACGACTAAGTATTTATGACAAGTACAACAAGTCCAAAAAACCGATGAAACAAAAAATCACTTTTTATACTTTATTGAAGCCTCTCTAAGATAGTAGCTTTTAAGAAAGCTGACGTTTCGGCCTTCTTCAGAGCCTAAAAAATAACCAGACAATAACCGCCTGAATCAGGAATATCTGCCCTTTCGAAAAAATGTAAACTGGGAGAGCCATAGTTATAATTTGTATAACGCCCGTTCGTACAGTCCGAGTGAGGTCATATAAATACAATAAACTTGGTCACTCATCTTGACGAAAGCATTCAAAAACCGGAATGTTGTCAGAAAGAACTCCAGCCGCAGTGTTCCCACTCTCCCCCCCCCCTCTCCCCCGGAAACCTCACCTCCTTTTCTCGAACTAATTGTAAGCTTGCTCTCGAATGAAGTTTACAGTTCAATTTACAATTTTTTTTTTCAATTTTTTTTACAGTTTTATGGCAAGCCGTGCACGTGGAAGGAAGACAATAGAATAAAAAGCTCAAAGAAACCTGCAAAACTACTTCAGAGGGCCATGATTACTTGACCGCGCAGTGTACGCAGGTACCATTATGACGCTTATTTCTCATTTTTTTAAAACTCGGAAAGTTATTTTTTCACCCCCTCCCCTGAGACTAAGCCTCGGGGGGGGGTGGAAGAAAATTTGTGATGACGAAAGTATCTGCGCATCCCGGAGCTTCCAAACTCTTTAGGGTTAATCCTATCGATTCTCCACTTCACCTTGTGACATCATTGCGTACATTATGCACTCACAGTGTTCTGAAATTGAACAACCTCCAGACTGGTTTTGCACCGTTTAACGATAAGAACTAGTGTGTGCCACTGTCGGTTCCTTCAGTAGCACCGTGACTGGAAAGCGAAAAA